GAAGAGGCATGTGAGGGATGAAATCCTGAAAGCAGTATCTGGAGTACCCCTGAAAGTGGGGGAAAATGTCATCAGAGTACTCAAAGACATTCCATTTGAAATAAGGCAAAGGAGAAAGAAATACAAAGATCTTATTCTCTTTCTTCAGACAAATTCAATTGGATATGGATGGCTAACTCCAGAAGGCGTCACCTTCAAAATCAAGGATAAAAAAGAAAAGATTGACTCTGTTCTGAAAGCTCGGGGATATTTAAGAGTCCAGTTGGGAGGGCCAGAGGAGGAAGAAAAAGAAGGGGAGGACAGTAAGTCCAGTGGCGAGCTGGACTCGGATTCTTCCGGAAAGGACTCTCTTTCAGAGAAAGGGGCAGCAGCTCCTAAAAGCCCTTATAAGTTGCGGAAGAGATGGGACAAGGAGAAGTGAAGGCTGAAGGACTCTGATGTGTGCCTTTAAAAATGTTGAATTGAGATGCTTGGGGGTATTTCTTAATAACAGTTGAATTTAAGAATTTTAAAAGATAATGATATATCTGACTCAGTTTGTAAAGGGATTGGTGGAATTAAGACTTGATGTTTGTGTAAACTAATTAGAAGATCTCCTCTCTTGGGTTTTTAGGTATTAGTGGGTATCTTTAGTTTGTCCCTAGATGTAGTCCCTTATCCTATTTCTGTTGTTGTTTGTAGTGTTTATAAAAATGTAATTAAAAAATCCCCTTCGGGGGGGGGGCTCAAAAAAACAACAACACAAGGTATTTAACTGCTGTACCTGTACTAGAAGCTGCGCTTAACCAATTATCTATATATCTAATTCTCAACAGTCTCCTCTGTGTGTGGATACTTATTTCTGCAGATAGGGGGCACACTCTCCCCAACAGGCTTTTCTACAGACTCCATGGGTCTGCAGAAAAATCCAAACAGTAAAAAAAAAAGAACACCTCGGGGAGGGTTGAATCCCCCCCCCAATACCATTTGAACTGGCTGCTGCAGGGATCTACTCCAGGCCCTGCTGTATCAACAATGGGAGAGAGACTGGCTGATAGCCAGAGAAAACAGACAGACAGACAGACAGACAGACAGAGGGCAGGAAGCAAAAGCAGAACTGGAGCTGGGATTGGGGAGGAGTCCTGCAGTATGAATGGCTAAATAGCAGGGGGTTTGGAGCCAGATTTGGGACTAGGATTGTCCGCTCCAGGTTGGGAAATTCCTGGAGATTTTGTGTTGAAGTCTGAGGAGTGCAGAGTTTGGGGAGGGGAGCCGCCTCAGCCGAATATAATGCCACAGAGTCCACCCATTTTCTCCAGAGGGACAGATCTCTGTTATCTGGAGTACAGTTGTAATTCGGGGGGATCTCCAGGTCCCACCTGGAGACTGGCAAACCTAGGCCTAGCAGCAGCCTCTGGGTGACTTGATACCACCTGATTTACATGATTCAACTAGGCCTGGTTGCTTGCTACTGTTCAAGAGCAGCCACCCTATAAAAGTTGGTGTAGTACAATGGTCAGAGCTGCAGAGCACGGTTTGCAAGACTGAGGTTTAGATCCCCATCTTGCTGTGGATGTTCACTGGGTGATTTTGAACCAGTCACATACTTTCAGCCTATCCTACCTCATAGGGTTGTTGTGTGGATAAAAAGGAGAGAATAATGTAAACTGCTTTAGTCCCCAATGTGGAGAAAGACCATAGTTTTCCTCAGTAGAAGCGCCAGGGGAAATGAGGATACAGCCAGGATACTGTCGGGAATTTTTCTATTTGTCTTTCAAATTCATATGTACTGGTCGATGACTGTAACAATAAACTGACTGACACTTGTATATAGCTGTTGAATATTATGGGGTTGCTCCATCCCTCACAACTGACTCATTCTGTTTGCAATGAAGTGAAGACATATTTCTACCTATCGCACCGTGCATCATTATGTCACTATTTCCTGATTTTTTGTTTATGGTCATAAACACAAGCAATTGGGTAGGTGTTTAGAAGTATTGTGTATCATTGATATTATCTATGTTTTAAATCCACAGAAACTGTGTGTATTAAAATCTTTTAAAGTACACATTACAGTGGCTCTCAAAATTCATTGAGATCCATTGTGATCTAAAGTATCCCCCCCCCCCCGCAGGACTTCCTTCCTCACTAGCACCCCTAGGAAGAGATGTAAAGGCCATGGGGAGTAATATTTTCCCTCAAGGCCTTTTTTTTCAATTTTTCTGACAGAAAAATTGGAAATTTCAGGGAGTACTGAAGAAAAACTACTACGAAATATTTTCTCTTTTCAAATGAGTGATTGCTTTTAAAGAGTAGGTGGTCATACTGTAGATATATACAGCTCTTAAATCCAAGATAACATTTATGCACCTAGAAGGATACCTGATCTTCATGAGGGGAGCATCTAGGACTTTCATTGCTTCTCAGCAGTTGCATGGCTTCTGCTGTCTTTTTGACCTGATGTGGTTGAGCTTTTAACCTCTCCCTCAAACCACTGTGATACAATTATCCATACACTAGGTAAAAAGTAGCTTATTGCCCTGCTTTGTGATAGGGAGAAAAAAGATCAGGGGGGTAGATCAGAAACTGCACCAAAGCTTCAAAGGAAAAGTGAAGGTTTCATTGAGAACCTAGCTCTCTTGAACCAGATAGTAAAAATTAAGGTATGTGTGCTAAAATAGCATAGGGTGCATCAGCTTGCATTTTTCTTTCAAGTACTGGGTACATTTGCAATTTTGCATGCATGAAAGTAAGGCATTTATAACTTTTAAGTTCCATTAATATGTCAGATATTGTAATCTTATATGCTAAGTAAGTTATAAATGATGCTTTTTATGTTGTTAAAGCAGTAAAATAGGTTTGATAGGACAGTAAGTATTGCATATGTTCAAAATTTTTGGAAATTTTATATCTCTACCCCTAGGCAGCAGTTCTTTTATTTCTATTTTAATTTCATTTTAAAGGGACTATTTATTTATTTATTTATTTATAGTCAAATTTATACCCTCCCCTCCCCGCAAAGCAGGCTCAGGGCGGCTTCCAACAACAATACAATATTACAGAATAAAAGCATAAATAGTACAGAATTAAAACACAACAATTAAAATAGTGCATTACAAATGTTACAAAGTACTGGCGGCAGTTAAAAATAAACAAATGAGATGTTTTCAAATGAAAGTGCTTTGAAGTTATTCCACATAAGTGTGTGGATGTTATTTGCTCGTTCTTGAGGCAGCTGCTGATGTCAACATTACGGGCTGTGCACTAAGGCGGCGGCGGCCCCTAGTTATATGCCTTATAGTTATATAGTTATAGTTAACTATAGTTATAATTATAGTTATATAGTTATAGTTAAGAGCTCCGTCTTGCAGGCCCTGTGGAACTGTGAGAGACTATAGGCAAGGCCCTAATATTCCAGGATAAAAGCTAAAGCAAAATACTGTTCAGTGAATCATTCACATGTAAGAAAAACTTATTAACATTGTTTAAGCTAATATCATTGTTTCACTGTAAGAGTGTCACTGTAAGAGTTAACTTGTTTTTACTGTTTGCAGTAGTATGAAACCGACTGGTTACTTTTTGTTGTTGTTGTTCTAATAAAGTTAATATTTGACCATCAGTTGAGTAAATCTTCTGGATGTTCAAATGGCCAGCTGTAGCTGGGAGTCCCTCTTACAAATATACAGCAAAGAGCTTTTTATAACTGGCCAATATATTTCCAAACTGCCCTAAGTAGTGCGAATATATGAGAGAACTGGTTTTTTTACACCTGATTGGTTAAATTTCCGGGGGTGGTGGTGGTTAACAAGATGCTTAAGTGTCATCTTTGCTAAATTCCAGGGACAGAAGCATGGCCTCCGGGTGTTTGTCTTAAGTACGTCGGGGGAGATCAGTTCGGCCATGTGAATATGGTGATGGTCCGATCACTGGAGCCCCAGGAGATTGCAGATGTCAGCGTTCAGATGTGCAGCCCTAGTACTGCAGGAATGTATCAAGGCCAGTGGCGAATGTGCACTGCTACTGGACTCTATTATGGAGGTAAGTGCTGCCTTTTCTTAAGACTCTTATTTCTAGTAATAATGGATCTATGTGAACTTCTGAAATTGCTTGATTTATGTCAAAATAGTACATGCTAGCAACCATAGGCCTATCTGACAAGAGAAAAATGACACTGGAAATTAGGGTTCCAGACAAGCCCAAAGAGGATTTTTTTTGTCAAACATTGCTACCCCTGCAAACCCCCCCCAACCAAATTTTAGTATTTTTTCAGGATGCACAATAAAGTGAGCAGTTTCATCCTTGTTCAGTGGAAAACTGCTTATGCCACCCCTGTATGCTATGTGAGCCTCCCACTCATCTGGCATGTATAAGGGGAAGAAAGGCAGGATTGCCACCTCTATTTGTAATATAGCATCCTAAAATTACAGTCAATTCTGAAAATGTCAGTTGACTCCTTTAAAGTGGCTGTTACAGTCTGCCTTGAACACAATGCTCAGAATGAGTTTTCCTCTGCTTTGTCAAGTTAGGGGGAGGGATTATGGTTTCACAATGAGGGGATTGCTGCTATTAAGGAGAGAATATGTACTGTTAAAAAAATTAAATCCACAAATATTCTGCATGAACTTAATTGGAATGCTCTGGACACGTCCATTTTAGGTACTCCAAAATTACATGTTTCAGTATCAGATATTAGAGAACAGGTGAATCAGTGAAACTACTGTTCAAATTTCCACTCCCCGGAGTAACTTGTCACGTACCTTGGTGCCTGTTTCGTCTTTGGAAGTGTGACCATTCTGTGTCTGGAAAATGCACAGGATAACTGAGTCAGTATTTCAGCCAACTTTTGCAGGTGACACATAAAATAAAAGAAATCAATTTTTCTTCAAATGTACATGTACACTGAAAATATTGTAACATTTAACTTTATTTAAAGCATTAAAATTGAAGAATTTAAATTACTGAATTACCTTTCTGGGGGAGTTTGTGGTCATGGTCTATGTTAGTATTCCTGGGAAATACAGACCTGTGTTGTGCTTCCAAGAAAAAGCTCTCTTCACGTTCCTGTCCATTATACTGTTGAGTTACGTGTTGGAATTTTTCCCAATTCTTTTATAATTAATGGACTCTGTCAACCATTTTCTTGGTACTTTTGTTTGTTGATATTTGACATGGTCAGCAATGTTCACATGCCAAGTTTGTTGTTTCTGTCAACAGGAGGATGAGGCAAATGGAATATGTAATTAAAATTTATTATTCATAATTGGAGGCTTGTATAATCCACATCATGTTTTAGAGAGGAGTTTGAATGGTTAACAGTAGATGGCAGTATTTCCCTATTTTCAAAGTTTAAGTACCAGATCTTTTTGCATAGTTTTTGGCAAACATTCACTGCTGTTGTAATTCTTCCCCTATGTGGGAAATGAGACTTAGAGTTGATACTGTAAATAACCTGAATTGGTGTTTTGTTTTGGCTTAAATTTAATGTGTTGCCTTTTAAGAGATATTGGACTTAAGTGAGGCATTAAATTGTATCTTGCACTGACAACTTTCCCTTTCACAGACATCATTTGGGTGATTCTCAGTGTGGAAGTTGGAGGACTATTAGGAGTAACGCAGCAGCTGTCATCATTTGAAACAGAGTTCAACACGCAACCACATCGCAAGGTAGAAGGAAACTTTAACCCGTTCGCCTCTCCGCAGAAGAACAGGCAACCAGATGAAAACAACTTAAAAGACCCTGGGGGTTCCGAGCTAGACACAATCAGCAAAAACACATGGGGGCCTGCTCCTGACCAAATTGAACAAGATCAGACTGAACTGTCACAAAACTCTGTAAATCTCTCCCCCAGCAGTCACTCGAACAACTTATCAGTAGTGACATACAGTAAGGTAGGTGCCCTGGGGGAACAGGAGAATGGGGAAGTCATGAGTCCATGGCCTGTACTCTGAGAAATCTCCCTTGTGCCTCTGTCTGATCTACTCACAGAGTCTGCATTTGAGTGTTTAATTTGTTGGGTCCTTGCCTTGAATTCAAAGCGAGTAAAAGCATGGCCATGTTCAAATGCTTTAAATGCTTTGTTAAACTAGCCTTCTTTGGTTGGTGCTTGCTGTTTGAGAAGGCAACAATTTACAAAGCTGCTTTTCAATCAGTGTTTAAAATTGTAAGTATATTAGGTGGTAAATTTCACAATAGATTTAGACCAGCAAAATCTGGAAGATAAAATATCCTGTGTGTTTTTTCTTTCTTTTTAGTTTTGTCTTTTTGTTTTGCTGTTTTTATCTTCAAGTAATTATTAAGCTTTAAATTGCTGTGTCAGGGAAACTTTTTATGCAGGAAAATATGTTAAAATGTATTGAATCAGCAAATACCCATCACAGTGCAATTATAGGAAACATGGGGGAGTGTTGTGGCAGACTAAATTTAGACTAGTTCAGCATGGTTGATTTTATATTATTCTGGGCTATGTGTAATTGCCAGTTGGTCTGAGTTTGGAATAGGGAAGGTTAAATGTCAGTCATTTGAACTTCTAAGGCAGGTAATGAAAATAGTGTAGAAAGCATGAGTTAAACTGCCCTCCAATTGACTGGGTAAGTGTAAACATCAGTCATGATATGCAACATTTCTATTTGTAATGGATGGCTGTGCCTTGAACAATTAGTTGTGGAACTAACAAGAAGAGATACCAAATCCTTAAGTGTTGCTCAGATTTTGTTGAAACATGTATGTATTGTTAAAAACACAAGTCCTGTCAGTCACAACCATATCAAATTCAGGACACATTGCCCAGAAAATCTAGCATCCCTGATAATTTCAGAAGGAGGAATTTCTAAAAAATTATTAAATGCTTCCCAGTTTGTTGAAATAATTTCTACAATATCTCCCACCCCAAATAAAAACAAGAGGAAGCTGAAAGATACAGAAATATCTCTTTAGAAGGGTTGTAGATAATTTAAAACCTCTGCTGTGGAGACTCTATAGTGCAGATCAGAAAATACACTAATTAATTAATTAATGTATGGCATTGTGTGTAGTATAGCCAGATCCTACGATTGTCTGGCAGCCAGAAATTCTAGCTCTTTAGCATTATGCACCACTAGGTGGTGAGCTAGATCTGTTTTTTAAGGCAAAAGACGTTTCAGAGGTGGTTTGCCATTGCCTGCCTCTGCGTCACGCCCCTGGTATTCCTTGGAGGTCACCCATCCAAATACTAGCCAGGGCTGACTCTGCTTAGCTTCTGAGATCTGATGGGATTGGGCTAGCCTGGGCTAGAAAATATACTAACAGATCCAAAAGGATGCCAGCAGGGCCACTACCAATAGCATACCAGTAAAGAAAGTTATAAAAAATTATTCCTTAAAGTGGAAGTCTGCAATCAGGTGAAGAAAATAAAAAGGAGTACAAAGCCTGGTAAACCAGTATACATGTTTAATGGGAGCCATAAATGGAATTTGACAACAAATTGCTGACAATAGTAAAGTGTTTAACATTTTGTTGGAATATAAGAATCACGAATGGAACTTTCTGTTCTAGCACCCTGTTTATGTCCCCTGTTACTTTTTTTAATGAGGCATGGGGGGGTGCTGCTGAGAGGAGGATTGAGTGAAAATTGGGAACCTCTTCTTGCTTGAGAATTGCTTTCCGCTTGTGCAAAGGCAATCTAAATTATCTCCATTATCAAGAAATGAACCTGAGAGACAGGGGAGTATTATATAATCAACATGTACAATAAATACTGAAGGAAGGAAGATGAGAGAATTGTAGCAAAGCTTCTCGAATTGTTTGCTTTAGTCTTCCCTGCAGAGATTCTCATACCTAAACCATTGTTTTATGGAATACATAAGAACCAACTCTCAGAGTGACAAAGTATGGTATTATCAACAAGTTATCACACAGTCACTATGTAATTAACTCATATGTGATAAAACTAAACCAGTGATTTTGGGGATGAGCAGTGAGGTAACCAAATTTGCAATTATAATTAGATTCAGAATAGTGGAACCACAGCCAGTAGTGAAGAGCTCCAAAAAGATCAACACAATAGTAGATGAGACTGAGTGTGAGACTGAAGTGATGCACATGGTGTCAGAAAGGACTGCTCACGGAGGGGACCAAGGGAAAGATCCCCATCTATTATCACCTTCCCCTGACAGATTGCAGGTTCCAACCCCATAGAAGGAATGTTTAGAATTGTTTGGAAAGGGATTGACAGTAGCAATTTGCGTAATGTCATTATACAAAAACATGATGCACCTCCTATTTAGAACTCTGTTTCCCCATTATAAAAAAGGATATCTGCGATAGGTGTTGACGTGTAAAAACATGAATATTTGAAAGTATGCATAAACAACTAAGGAACAGGATGCTATGTGAAAGAAAACTTCTTTTAGTATATATAAACCTTTATTTTCTGAAGTATGAAATACAAAGTGAAAATTTAAAATCTGAAGCTGTGACTTTGTAGGCACTGATTAGAGAAGTAAATAAACTTTTAGTTATGCTGGTGTTTTACTAGTATTTTAAAGAAAATATTTATTCTGCTAAAATGGAATATGTATAAAGTGCATATTGAGAATATTCTTGGCTATTACAATTGCAGCCTATTCGGAACCCAGTATCACTGAGTTCACTTGGGATCATTCCCAATGAAGTGTGTTTAGGATTGCAGCCATTGTGTATAATGGCGTACTACTAAAGTGGAACTGACATCCAAATTTATTGTCATTCCTTAATTATAGGAGTGTTTATTTCCTGAGCTTTTTCCTCCAAAAAGACAAGTTTTTTCTGTTTCTGCGTGATAATACTGAGGTCTACTGTTTCTAAGCCCAGATAATAAAACTTTAATCTGTTTACTCCAGTGTTTTTCAGCTTTATTCACTTCATATCTCTTTCCCCTTCCTTCTCTGCTTTCCCAACTTACAAAGCCCAAGATATACTTGGGTACCAGAGAGTGTGGCAGCTTCCAGCTGTATCCCACTGAGTATATTTGTACTTGCTCTTTGAATAAGGCATTTACATTTTAAAATTACAGAACTACATCAAAATATAGTTTATGTGCTAAACCATATGTGATATATTTCATGCTCTTAAATCATAATGCAAATTTAAATTCAGTAAGAAAGCATTACATATGTTTTACTTTCCCAACAATGTTTAAAAAAATGGAATCCTCCTCCTGTCTGCATGGCTGTTTAGAAATTTTACATCTAAGCTTGGAGCCAGAAAGTATACAGAAAAAATGATCAGAAGATTGGAGCATTTTCTGTATGAAGAGGACTTAAGACATTTGAGGCTTTTCTTTAGCTTAGATATGAGACTCTCAGTCACACACAAAAGTAAAATTTGTAGGGTTAGGTGTACATTCAGTGAAATCAATTTGCATCAGGGTCAGGACAGACGACAGGATTTACTACTTTGCATATAAAATTAATTACCACAAAATGAGATGGCATCTGACTTTTTTAAAAAGAAGAATTACACAAATGTATATGGTAAACAACTTCTACATGAATCACAGACTTTAGATGTTCAAAAGTATGAGCAAGCACTTTAACTGTGGTGGAAATCGAATAATTTAAATCAGTATAAGCATGCTGTTCTGGTTGATGAATCTTCCAACACATTTGTATCAAATCTTCAGTTTCTCAGCAAAGTGACAGTTTTATTATTACATAGTAGAAAAAAGCAAGAGTCCACTAGCATCTTAAAGACTAACAAAATTTGTGGTAGAGTATGAGCTTTCATGTGTCACTGCTCACTTTTTTAGATCATACAATATTACATACAACACATTGCATAATATCCTAATACAAAGAAGAAGAGAAGAAGAGATGTTTGTAACAATTCATAAAAAGCAAAAGGACGTGTTCTCTCAACCGTTTTCATTCCATAATAAAAGTTGCCCAGTATTCTCAACACTTACCTGTACATTATAAATTATTTATTTGGATAATTTAATAATACATTAGTTAATAGGACTATGTTCCAAAGACAATTAAATCAATATTTTATAGAAGGGAGTTCTGTTTTTCCCCAGTGTACCACAGTAACCATCTTAGCAGCTGTAATCAGAGTTGAAACTAAGTGTTTGAAAAAGCTACCAGTCCTTTTAAATATCCTAATAGAATGATCTTAAGAAGTGGTAGTATACTACTGCATGATGTATTATTAATAAACTGAAACGTTTTACCAAAATAGGTTTAAGTTTTGGACATGCCTGAAACACATGTATCAAATCCGTAATTCCTTGGCCATATCTCCAAAATATATCTGATACCTTTCTGTATGTAATTGTTTGCTTATACGGCTCAGATACCACTGTAAAAGTATTTTACAGAAATGTTCTTTCAAATTCATCAGGATTATTTGTGAGGTGACATTTTCACAGATCTATTTCCATTCCTGAAAATTCAAATAAATTTGTTAATCTTTCTCCCATTTTTTCGTGTTGCTTAAAGTAATAACATCTAAACTTAGTCTTTTAGTAAGCTGGCATTATGCTGAGCTAGAGATATGATTATCATTTATTATAGATCCAAATATCTAACCTGTTAAACACTCCATGATACAGAACAGATTTTAACTGTGTTGTTCCTGACTTGACATATTGAATCCAAGCCATTCTGATTTAGATAAATTCATTTTGTCACCTGTTACCACTCCAGATATGTGAATCAGTTTGATCGGGGCAGGATTTTTTAACCCAAAAATCTGGAGATGGCATTAACCAGCTAAATGAACAAGTTTATTCTTAGATACTTTCATAACAAATAGATCTGCCTCTTCAAAGCATCAAATAAGGCTGCTTTGAAAACTACCCAGAGACCGTGGTTCCCAAATGTAAATGTTTTGGGGTTCGGTTTTTTTGTGGGTAGTTTTTGTTGTTGTTGTT